CATTTAATATTAATTCGATTTTCAAGATTTAACCTGACTTGGAAAAATTTTAATCTTTTTTTTTTTTTTTTTTTTTTATATTTACTTAATCAATTGCGTCGAAAAAAAAAAAATAAATAAAATAAAATATATTTAAATAATCGTATATTAGAAAATTAGAACAGGAGAAGATTCAACGATGCCACCTGAATTATTTTTAGATATTCTCAAAATAAACTGTTAGTCAGTTAAAAAATTTTCAAGTACGAGTTTAACATAGAGAGAAAGATACATTATTGTTAAAAAAAAAAAAAAAAAGCTAACAAAATGTTAAATCGTCATTACAATTTTTTTTTTTTTAATAATAATTACTTACGTCGAAATAAAATTATTATTAATTTTGCACTACATAAACATAAAAACACGCTCCTCTAAATAAAATATTACATCAATCAATTATTAATCAAAACTAAAAAAAAAAACTTTGCAAGTTTAAAATATTTATATAATTAATCAATTGAAATCTTGTTAAATGTGCGTTTAATAAAATATTTAAAAAAAAAAAAAAACTTTAAAAACAAAAAACTTCTATATATACACACTAATGAAAAAAAAAAAAAAATTAATAAATGTTGTAACACGAACATTCAGGTGCGGTTAACCTTTCTCTCAGAAAAATATGCAGATTTCTGACTGTTTTATTGATCGACATGAAGCCTCATAAAATAATTTCCTACAAGCCTAAACAAAGTACAAAAAAAAAAAAATATTTTGTTGTTGTTGTTCTGTTTTTTTTTTAAATTTATTTTCAGTCATAAATATATATATTTGGATAAGAAAAAAAAAAAAAAAAAACTTTTGCTTACACGTTTTATTTTAATTAAAATCAGGCATTAAGATGACTTTATGTGTGCATTTATCTGATTTTCTCTAAATACCCTTACCCAGACATTTCTATTTATTTCAGTTTTTAAAAAAAAAGCTTAGACTTTATTTGCACATTAATTTTTTAACCTATAAAATTTCCTTGTAATCAGATTAGGCCTCCCCCTCCCCCATAAAAAAAAGAAAAATTGTAATAAATTTCCAACTCAATCCAAAAAAATAATAAAAAAACTTCTTTAGTTAAACTCAAGAGTAATTATTTTTAATGTTTTTCACATAATTCTTTCTGATTCATAATGCATCATCATCATCATTATTATTATATCATGATACTATAATAACGTTTAAATAGTGTCATCAATATTTAAAAATATTATTAATATATAGAATGAGTGTTTGTTATATTGCCAAACTTATTGATTACAAAATAAAAAATTCTCACTTTAGCTAAATGTGTGTGATTGACTATTAACTTATTATGTTGGCAAAATATTATTTGGCTTCTACATTTCTATGACAATGTATTAAAATTAACTATATTAATAATATTAATAACATACATATTAAAATATATAAAAAAAATCTGCATTCATAATGGCTTTGAAAAGATATTTATAAAAAATTTTTTTGTTTTTTAACCGTGAAAAAATCAATACATTTTTAATTATTTAATTTTATGTTTAATATTATTAAAATCAAACAAAAAAAATAATCCCAAAAACAAAAAACCATAAACTCAAAAGTAAATTTAAATAAAAATTTCTAAAAAATTAAAGGTTACAAGCCATCATCAAAAATAGCTCGATAAAGATTTTGCATTTCATAGAGAAAATAAATGTAAGAAACCGCAAACCGCCATTTTGAAACGGTCAGTGCCGATGTACAAATTTATATACGGCAAATATACAATTTCATTTTTCAATTTTTTCGTTTCGTTTTACGTTGCACTCCAATAAATATAAATTCGAATTCGTTATATATGTTCGAATAACAATATAATAAGTATTTTATATTTGCTTACACGAAAAAGAATCCATTTTTTTCCTAATATAATGTTGATAAGGTCTCACAGAAAAAAAAAAAATTTTTTTCACATCAAGTAAAAATCATTATTTTTGAATTTCTCTTTAAACCGTGAATTCTCTTATCTTTTACGAAATGATAAAACGTATTCGAGAGCATATAAAAATGGAAGGAAAACGATATAAGTAAAATTTTTTCTAATAAAAAATATTCACCCATATAATATCACTACATTTCATATTGCCTATATAAGCCTATTTCATATTCTGATATACATATATATGTATACTTTTTGTATAAAAGGCATATTTTATGAAGAAAACTAAATGAGAATAATGATATAACTTACTCAAACAGTTCTTAATATTAAATTTTTAACCGATTAGGTTTATTCAAATTGATTTTTTTACATTTTTTTTTTCATATTGTGCGCCGGCGCATTATATATATATATATATATACATACACACTAAATTTTATATTTTATAACTTTTGATAGTTTTTTACACTTATCGAATGATCGATTATATAAAAATTACATATAAAAAAGTATCCAAGCAAATTTAAAATTGATTTTTAACCAACAACCATCCTCTAAAATAAAAATTCAATATGACTAAATATATATGTTAATAATTTGGTTATGGCTTACCATTTGAAATAGTCAAATGCTAAAAATTATATAACACACAGATAAAAATAACAATATTTTGTTTTTTTCTAATCTTTTTTTTTTTCTTTTAAATAACAGAAGAACTAGTAAAATCCAACAAAATTAACTGAAAAACTATAAAACTAAAAAGACACTGACAGTCGACCCACCGCGCCTTAACATTCACTCCGCCGCGATTGAAGCACTGGCCACCACTCACCGGAAACTACGAAAGTCAGACTTATTCATCTCAAAGGAAAAAATGGCGCTAGTCGATGGTGACATTTAGCGGATAAAAATCGAACTTCGATAAAAATTTCCTTTTTTATTTTAAAGCAGTTTGTGCGAAAAAAATACACATTTTTTTTTAAAAATACATATTTGAATTCGAACAAACGATATTATTTAATAATTTGCGACGTTTTTTAAATTAAATAAAACACATTTTCTTTACACTTAATGGAATTTGAAAATCTATTCATTATTGAAAACATTTTCCTTTGTTTATTATTTTTGGCGCGTTAAAATAATGGAATTTTAATTTTTTACCAGCTAATCTCTCAAAGTGTAAACAATAATTAGATTTCATAAACTCCGTACAAAATATTTATTTTTTTTTGAAATTAAAAACTAATTAATAAGCATAATTGATAAAAGTGTAGATATTTTTAAAATGCATGTGTTTGTTTTAATGTTTTAATTGTGATTTTGTATTAAAATTCTCAATAGAAAATTTAACATGGATTAAATCAACATTGAAATAACTTTAAAATAATGAAATTAATTAGTTAATAAATTAAGGCTAATTAATGAATTAGGTATTTTTTATGTGGTAAAATAATATAGGTATAATTTCATTTAAAAAAAAACTTATAAAGGTATAAAGGAAAAATTATTTTTAAATTCTTTATTGAAATGAAAAGTTTTTTTTTGTTGCTTTGATTTATGGCCTAGATTAAATAATTTCAAAATTTTTTTTTTTTATTTTAGTTTTCAAACATCACAATGCAAGAGGTGCATGCATACATGTTTCAAATTAATTATAGGCCAACATGCATTCATAAAGTTACAAAAAAAAAAAAATCAAGAATTTATTTCAAAATCAACATTAATAATATGAAAAAGTTGTGTTGTAATATAATAAGAGAAGGGGAATACAAGTTTTTAATGGCGAATAAAAAAAAATTTAAAATGATGTAAATATAAAAAATAATGCAAGTATGTGTGACGCTCACAAACGTATGTAACGGTTTTTTTTTTTTTTATATTTATTTTCAAGGAAAGCAAGAAAGTTGTTTTCAACAACAACAACATGCCTAACAAAGAATATGAAAAGATAGGATTGCCAACTTAAGATAATTAATTTTTTTTTATAAATTTTTATAAACCAAAGTATAAAAAAATTTTTTTTTCATTAACTTATAATAATAATAATAATGAGAATTAAAATGAAATAATTATTTATATGAATGAGGTAGTTTATAAATTTTGCATTAGGCTTTAGCAGACGACATAACGACCTTCCATCTCCTACTTTTTTTTATTCTTTTTTATTGCTCGGATAGAGGAAAGGAAAACCATTGTTAGTATTAGTTTAAATCTTGTAAAAGTATTGTTTCATTTTTGTTTTATTGATTTAAATTCGTGCAAAATGACTTTATTGATAATATTATAACAATAATCTATAATTGTAAATTGTTGTTACTCATTTTTTAAGTTAATTAATCGCATATTTCGGTTTGGATACATGAGAAACTGGATCGAAATCACTAATCAACAACCTACTTTCAAAATTTACTAATATATATATATATTATATTTAAATATATTTTATGTGTTGTAAAAAAAAAGAAGGTAAATATTGTATATTTATACCTAAAAGTCACAAAGTATAAATTTTTTTTTTTCCGTTAATTTTCAATATGATCGGATTTTCGAATTCGTGTGCTTGAATTTTTTTTTTTTTTTCCATTATGTCGTTATTTATTTATTTTCTCCATTTTTGAGTGAAGCGATTTGAATTTTAATTTTGTAGTGAGTGAAAGGATTATTGCCATTTGTTAAAAAGATTTAAAAAAATATTCAATTAAAAAAATATGTTTGGTTTTTTTTTTTTTTTTTAAATGGAAATTAACCGTAGAGTTTTCAAATCAAAAAAAAAAAAAAAAAATTTTTTTATCCCATTATCGGCGTATCACATTATTTCATAAATATTTATTTGACACATTTTAAATTTTTTTTTTTTAAAATGTCTCTCGTGTAGAACACCTTTTATTTTCATGCTAAGAATAAATTATAAATAATAAATTTGAATTGTTTAATAAAAAAATTAAATTGTGTATAATGATAAAAACAATAATAATTAAGTGTTTGTAGTTTTTGATCGAAACAAAAAAACAATAGTTTAAATTTGAAAATTAATGACGTTTTATATTTCTCAGATAAAAGGTACTAAAAAAAAATGGAAAATCCAAATTTTGTAAACGACAGCATGAAATCCGTAACAATTTCTCAAGAAGCAAAACCCAAAAGTAAATACAGGGATAGGGAAAAATGGTCCAGAGGAATAGAATTTGTTTTATCTTGCATTGGATTTGCTGTCGGATTGGGAAACATTTGGAGATTTCCATATTTGTGTTATAAAAATGGAGGAGGAGCGTTCATGATACCTTATTTGATTTGTCTTGTCGCAGGTGGAATACCAATTTTTTTTTTAGAAATTGCAATAGGACAATATACGAGTCAAGGAGGAATCACAGCATGGAATTTTTGCCCAATATTCAAGGGTAAGTTAAAAACAATAAAATTTTTCAATTCAAGTTATAGAAAGATATTAAAGTCATAGGTTAGCCAAGAAAATGTCTACTATTTTGTAATCCTGTGGAAATATTAATATAATTGGCCTAGGTTACCATTTTACAAATCATTAAATTATACAACATTTGCGGTAAAGAGTTGCCATAATCAGGGTTATCTTTAAAAATTACTGTTGTAAAATTTGGTCGACGCATAATTATTTTTTAAAAATTGAATGAAATAAAATGTCCTATTATTCAATTCAAAGTCTCTCCAATTAGGGTCGCCCTACAATATACAATATTGGTGATACAAATAAAATTAAAGACATAAATGCAAAATGATTTTGAGTTGTCAGTCAAAAAAAATTTGAAATTATTGATTTAATTCTTCATAATTGTTCACCAATAAAATTATAGGTATATATATTTTTTTTTTTCAGGTATAGGTTATGCTACGACTGTTATTTGTTTTCTACTCAACATATATTACATCGTCATATTAGCTTGGGCATTTCATTTTTTTTTTAATTCTTTTCGTTCAGAACTTCCATGGTCGACGTGCAATAATTGGTGGAATACACCAAAGTGTATAGTGGGTTCAGAAGCAAAAGCTCTTAGAGAAAATACCACGGAGGAACACGTGGGGGAAAAAAGAGTCGATGCCATTATCGAATACTGGGAGTTAGTATATAACAATACTTTTAACAAATTTCATTTAAAGAGTTTACTTTTATATAAACCTTCTTATTTTAGGAGAAAAGTTTTAGGTATATCCACTGGTGTGGATGATGTTTCAACATTACAATGGGAACTTGTTGGCACACTATTTTTAGCTTGGGTTATTGTTTATTTTTGCGTTTGGAAAGGAGTTAAATCTTCTGGAAAAGTCGTGTATTTTACCGGTAAAACAATAAAAGAAAATTTTACGAAAATATGTTTAGTGGACAAAGTCATTTAAAAAAAAAAAAAAATTTTTTAGCTGTCTTTCCATATTTAATGTTAACCGCACTACTAATTAGAGGAGTCACACTTGATGGAGCCGCAGAGGGTATAACATTTTACCTTAAACCAGATTTTTCTAAACTTTTGGAATCCACCGTTTGGATTGATGCTGGAACACAAATTTTTTTCTCATATGCCATTGCATTGGGTTGCATGACAGCTCTGGGATCATATAATAATTTCCATAATAATTTTGTTAAAGACTGTATATTTGTTTCTGTAATTAACAGTTGCACCAGTTTGTATTCTGGTTTTGCTATATTTAGCGTTTTAGGTTTCATGGCCAAGGTAAGTAAGGTTAAGTTTATTAAAATTAAAATAAAATTTTCAGTGGATAAAAAAAAAAAAAGGAAAAATTTATTTCAGGAACATGGTGTTCCTATTCAAGACGTTGCCGAATCAGGTCCTGGTTTGGTTTTTATTGTTTATCCAAAAGCCATAAGTCAAATGTCTTGGGGACCACTTTGGTCTTTTTTATTTTTTTTTATGATTCTTTTGATGGGAATCGATTCGCAATTTGTTGGAATGGAAGGACTGATAACGGCCATTGTTGATGTTTATCCAAGGTATCTGAGAAAGGGAAAAAGGAGAGAAGTTTTTATTGCATTCATAAGTATTATTAGTTTTCTTCTTGGTCTGACTATGGTGACAGATGTAAGTTTTTTGGCTCTTTTAGTTTTTGACATCAGAGCTTGAATAAAAATTCAATTTTACACTTTTGTTACCAGGGTGGAATTTACATGTTTCAAGTTTTCGATTATTATTCGGCGAGTGGTATGGTATTATTGTGGATGTGTTTTTTTGAATGTATTACCATTGCCTACGTGTATGGAGTTGATAAATTTTATGATAATATAACGGAAATGATTGGTTATAAACTTGGTCCTTGGTTAAAATATTGTTGGCTTGTTTTTACACCAATAATAACGATGGTATTTGAACAAAAAAAAAACATTAAAAATGAATTAAGTAAATAGTTAAATTGTACAAACAAACAAACAAACAAACAATTAATTGTTTCAGGGTATTTTATTATTTTCGTTTGCTTCGTACAAACCGTTAACGTACAATCGTACCTACGTTTATCCAATTTGGGCTCAAGTAGTCGGTTGGTTTATGGCTTTAATTCCAATGTGTATAGTACCATTATATTTTTTATATCATTTATTTAGATCTCCCGGAAGTACATTAAAAGAGGTACCAATAAAACAATATTTATTTTAAACTTTTGTTTAAAAAAAAAAAAAAAACTAAAACATGTTGTTTTTTTTTATACAGAAATGGAAGGCAGCAATACAACCTCAAAAAAACGATGAGAAAAAAGAAAATAATAAATTAGAGTTACCACCATCACAATCATCGACAACAAATTTGTGATAAAATAAATTATTTTCATTTTCTTCTTCTTATTCCTTTTAGAAAATCTTATTAAAAAATTATATATATTATTCAAATTAATATTTTGAATAATTTTAAAAAATGATCGTTATACTCAATAAATAAAATTTTTATTATTTTATATTAAATTTCATTTTTTTTAACTTAATCGAAAACAAATCCTTTAATTCATAATTATTTTAAAATTTATTAATTAATTAAAAAAAAACGATTAAATTTTTTGTAAATTTTTTTTTTAAAACAAGAAATATAATATGTAAACTTTTAAAAAAAAATAATACATAAAATATATAAATAAATATATTTAAACCCCGGCTTAAAACACCTTATATATGATATCTTAATTAAATTACATAATAAAATCCAACTCCCGAAAATAATATTTTATAAATAAATAATAATAAAAAAAAAAAAAAAAAACTTATAAAATTGTAAATGCATTTTTTTTTTAAACTTAATCATTAAAATTTTGTTTATATTTTTTTTTTATAATTGCCCGAGAAATAATCAATTATTTTCGACTTGTAATTTTTTATTTTCTTTTTTTTTTTTTTTTTTTTTTGCATTTTGGGTACGTTAGTTACGGAATGTCAAGTATGGATTTTTTTTTTATTTATTTCTTTTATAAAAATTATTTAATATTAAAATCTAAACGAAAAATACAATATTTAAAAAAAAAAATTATTACTAATGCGAATTTAACAAAAAAAATTTCGACGCGATTTCCGGTTTCTTTTATATTTATAAATATATATATTCGAGTAGACTATCATTATATTCCTAATTTTTTTTTTTTTTTCTTCTTTTTTTTTTTTTTTCTTTTTTATAATTTTGATCGTATTTCTTCGATTCGACCACTTGCTAGACGTTGAAGTTCTTGAAGTTTCATTGCCAATCCCATATTTCCTTGAATTTTAACCTTACCTTGGAAAAATGCTTTTTGCGGATTCAATTTTCCGGTCAATAAATCGGTCACATCATTATCGTCTATTAAAAATGTGACGTCGGGTTTGGCTGAAATTTTATTACCCAAATTTTATTATTATTCAAAAAAAAAAAAAAAAAACTGAGAGATAATCGTGAAAATTACATTTTCCATTAAATTCAACGCTTCCTTTTCCAGTTTTGGCATTTATTACCCAGTATCCATCTTTACCACCGGCACCATTTTTCACTTTTATTGCAAATATTCCCCTAACTTTTTCTATTAAATTATCGCTATCCTCTTTCATAGCTTTTTCTAAGGCTAAAAATAATTTATTCGCTTTGAAATCTTCGGGACGAGCACTCGCCGATGCAGCCACGTTATTTCTAACGATTCCGGAATTTCTAGTCCTGCAATTTAAGCAATAATTAAAAAAAAAATTTAGAATATTTTTCCTATCATTATTTGACGGTGGAAAACTTACGTGAAGCCTTTTCTGTAAAGAGCAACGATTGACGCTCCTCCCAATCCTATATTATGTTGAAGGGCTATTCTCGCATCGGGCACTTGTCTTTTTTCTGCAAGTCCCCTCAATTGCAAACATAATTCCGTGCATTGTGCTAAACCGGTAGCTCCGAGAGGATGTCCTTTAGATATTAAACCCCCACTGAAAATTTAAAAAATTAAAAATACTACCAAAGTTTTTGTGGAAAAAAAAAAAAAAAAAAAAAAAATAGAATGTTTACCTCGGATTGACTACGCATCTGCCTCCGTAAGTGTTTTGTTTAGAATCTATAAATTTTCCAGCTTCACCGGGACCACAAAGTCCCAAAGCTTCATAAGTTATAAGTTCGTTAGCAGAAAAGCAATCGTGCAATTCGACAACGTGAACATCGCTTGGTTTTATACCCGTTTTGGCATAGAGCCTGTCGGCGGCAGCTTTCGTCATGTCGTAGCCCACCTTTTTTTTTTTCCCAAAATGAATATAATTTACTCAAATACTCAAATTAAAAAAAACTCGATTAAATATTTTTCATACCAAACTCATAGCGCTCCCGGCAAAAGATGATGGAAAATCTGTCACCATTTCCATTCCTAAAATTTCAATTGCTTGTTCGAATAGGCCGTGTCTGACAACAAAATTTTCACTGCAAACTATGGCGGCAGCCGCACCATCCGACGTTGGACAACATTGAAGTTTGGTCAATGGATCAAAGATTTTAGGCGATTGTAAAATTTGTTCTAATGAGTAAATGTCTTGAAATTGTGAATTTCTAAATAACAAAATTTATTTTGGTAAAAATATTAAAATGTTTAATACCAGCAGACAAAGTTTAAAAAAATGTATAAATTTGCATTTGCTTACGGATTATTAGCGGAATGCCTGTGATTTTTTTCAGCGATTTTAGCAAAATGCTCTGGTTTTGTACCATATTTTTGCATGTGCTCCCTTCCGGCATAACCGAACATTTGAGCCGTTACAGGTGCAGTCGGTTCAAAACCAAAATGCGTCGCCATTTTTTCAACATGTTTTTCCATCGGATTTGTTCTGTCGTTGAACTGATCATGAGGAGAAAAAAGAAAAGAATGAAATGTGTTAAGGTAAAGAACAAACGACTCGTAACACTCGTTTTACCTTAGACGTTAGAGAGCCTCTTTCCATTTTTTCAAAACCTAAAGCTAATACGCAGTCACTCCCAGCTTCGACGTGTAATTTGGCTAACATTAATGCACTTGATCCTGTAGAACAATTATTATTAACATTAAATATAGGTATTCCAGTCATTCCGATTTCGTAAATCGCTCTTTGTCCACACGTAGAATCTCCATAAACATAACCGACACAAGCTGCTTCCACGTCTCTTATTTGCAAATTGGCATCTTTCAATGCTTTACCAACTGCTTCAGCCGTCATATCAGGATAATCAAAGTTTGATCTTCTCCCTGGTTTTTCAAACTGAAAATACAAATCATTTAAATTCATCATTATAACTAGTGCAACAAATTTAAGAATCATTCATGTAGAAATCTAAAAAACAAGTGAATTAAAATTTAAGGAAGTGTTGAAAATGCAAAAAACAAAAAGTAGAAAAAAAGTGATGCACTTCAAATAAGAGCCAAAGGGCAGAACATGAAAAATTTTGTAATATTATTAATTTAAAGAATAATAATGTAATGTTTTAATGTAAATGTTCTTACAAGTAATTAAAAAAGCAGTACAAAAAAAATTAGTGAGAGTAAGTATAAAAAAAAAGACTAAAACTTCAAATTTAAAAATTTTATATATTTTTAACAATTACATCATTTTCATACTCTTTTCTTTCTCTGAAAACATTAATACATTTATCGGTACAAATTTCATTAAGTAATGCTAAAGACATTTATTAAGATGTTGCATAATACTTGAATTATATAAAATGCAAGATAAATAAATGTTTAAATTACATATTGTAAAGTTTATTATCAAATTATTTGTTTTTATTTAATGTTGTGAGACATTCGCATAAAATAATTCTGGTCAAATCAAACAGGTAATTGCGAATAATGATACAATTTTAAGTACATAAATCTGTATTGAATTAAAATTCTTATAAATATATATTTATTTGACCTTAATTCACATTCTTATCTATTATCAAATTACCAAAGAAAAAAAATTTAAAAGCGATTTCTCTTTTTACTTTTTAAAAAAAAATTTTTTTTAAATTAAAAAATTAATCGAGAAATCCAAAACTTCTTTTATTAAATTGTAAAATGTAAAAACTTAAAGCTTGATACAAAGTATCTTGATCTATGGACCATTGAAACAGTATCCTTAAATATCCAATAAAAATTACTGGAAAGTTTTTTTTTTTTTTTTCCCCTTTAAGTTAATTTTAAGACTTGATTCTTTAATTAAACGAAAACAAATTTCAGGGATTTGTACAAAGAAAGATGGAAAGAAAATATAAACAATTTTTGTTTAATAGTTATAAAAAAAAAATTCTAATATTACAGAAAATGAATGTAATCTTTAATTGATAATAATATTTCTAATGTTAAAAAGCTGATTTCTTTTTTTGTATTTGATAGTTTTATGATTTACATGAATTTTGGTAGTATTTTTAATTTTGCAATGTAATAAATATAAAATATTGCAAATATTTAATTAAGACAATAAAATAAGAAAGAATAAATTATTCAAGGGTAAAAAACTAAACTGGAATGAATTTAATTCAGGAAATGTTTATTTCAATGAGTTGTTACATAAAGAGAAAAAATTTGATTCGTGCCTACTATTTAACTTAAGCCTTTTTATAAAATGTATTAGAGAATTTTTAAAAAAATAAGAAATATATATGAAAAATAAAAATAATTTATAAATGTAATTCTAAAGTCTCCGTAAGTATCATAGTTCAAGGATAATTTATTTAATTTAAATTATAAATTAACATGACAATGCATTAAATACAAATTTTTACGAAAAAATTATTTAAGTAAATAAAAACAAAATTTTCGGAGCATAAATGTTAAAACAAAATTAAAAATAATATTAATATACTAACTTTAGTCATTCCAACTCCAACAACGTAAACCCTTCTACGAGTCATTTTTAAAATTTCTAATAAATTTTAAAATTAATTTTAACGAAACACAAACCAACTACTCGCGAATTTCTTACTGACTACTAACAAAACAAAATGGAAGTCACTTTTCTGTATTTGAAACTGTATATCTAACCATTGAGTATAAGAACGCTTATGTTTAGCTTATTTTTAATTACATTACAGTGTTTAACATGTAAACAATAGCAAAGGCCATCGCATATAACTTTTTAAACTTTTTTTTTTTTTTTTTCAAAAGTACAAATTAAATAAAATTCGTATTTAAAGTACGTTATTAAATATTATTATTATTATACGTCGATCATTTAATTTTTTATAAACCGAGTAAATAATTGGAAATAAAACAATACTTTTGAAAAATTATAAAGTAAAAATTTAAAATAAGGAATTTTCTTTTTAATGTAAAGAATTTTTTAAAGTTTTTAAAATGTGTAGATGGAAATAAACATATATGAATTAAAACCTAGAAACAAAGTTCTTTAAAATTTTATTCAAATTTATTTCAAATAATGAATTATTCGTTTGGTATACAGGTTATATCATTTATTCTAAAATTTTAAATGCATTCTATAAAACATTATATTTATAAAAATGAAACGAAAATAATTTAAAAATTAATTTTTATTTAACAGTTTACAAAAGTTTAACGAGCTAAAAAATATTTTAACTCTATTGAGCCTCAATGATATTAAACGTCACAGGTGTACGTTCAGAAAATTATAATAAAGAAGGCGACGTTTTCTGACAACTGTCTTTTAGTTTTTCTTTCTTTGTATTACTCCGCAGTAAAATAAAATATCGTATTAAAATTAAAAACGACCTTGTTTGTTCTCTAATGCAATATTGTATAAAAACTTATATTTAATTTTTATTTTTTGAATTGAAAATGTGAATGTTTATTTAGTTTTATTAAATAATTTATATTCGAACCTTTTTTTATGCGCTCTAGCATTTTATTATTGAATGCAATAAGGCTAAGCCTATGTTGTGTTTGGTACGTTTGGCGCGTCTCCACTGTCCTAAAATCGCGTATTTTGAAGTTCAAAATGTAATTCTCAATTTTAACAGTTGTAAAATGATTAAAAGTTTTGTTTTAAATTTATTTCTTTTTATTAATTACAAAAACTCAAGCTTTTCTATTGGAAAAGGTGAGTTGCAGACAATGTTACTAGGGCTCTGTTTCTAAAAATGCTTTTGAAGTTTTTAAGAGCTTTAGTTTACATTCTAATGGTGCTAAGGGAAGCAAAATAAATTTATAATTTTAGTGTGCGTTTTATAAAAATTACCATATATTATAAAAAAGGTATTTTTTTTTAGTGTCATTTTAATTATATGAATAAAAGTTATTCTTTCAATCGGTACTCTGGTGGTGAAATGGTGAAGTTTACTCATGCATTTGTGGTCGTTCATTTTGTGTTTGTTTTGCTTAATGAAAATATCACTAATTTTTTTTTTTTTTTTAAATGAAGTGTCAATTTTTTATACATTTGTTATTTGAAAAGTAAAAAAATTATTAAGTTTATTTTTATTTGATTATTAAGTGTGTTGATTGTTGTTTAATAGGTTGATTTTGTTAGAGGGCGCTTAAGTAGAATGCAAAATGGGAGTCAATGACTTGGCCATGGGCTGTGTTGACAGAACCTTTCTAACCCAAATATTCCTCTGTAAAGGGTGCAATAAACCCCTTAAAAACCTCTACGGTGATTTTTACCTTTCTTTTGTAGCATACTAGTATAAGTTTATAAATTTTTCATTCTGTTCATTTTGATTTGAGATCTAACTTTAAGATGGCCTACATATTTGTTTTGTTTTAAAATCAAGCATGTTTTAAATCATGCTTGCCAAGATGAAAAAAAATTTCAAATTATTTATTTTAATTTTATAGTATTTGTAGTTTTTTTTCCAGTAGATAAATTATAGCTTTATTCATATTTTACTATTATGCGTGATGTCATTTGCTATTCATTGCTAAAAAAAAATTAGATAAAAGAAATAATAGTTCATTATCAGAGTGTTAGAATTGTTAGAAGTTGTATGTAGCAAAACAATTAGTGTAAAAATACAGACAATAAAATTGATTCCAACTTTAAAAAAGTTATTTTATAGAAATTGTTATTTTTTTTTATCAGTTTATTTTATTCTTTACACAATGTAAATTTTGTTTATTTTTACAAATTTTTTTTTTTTTTGTTCGAAACTTAATGTTAAGGTTAAATAATTTACAACCTGTTGTTTCAGGACATCACGAATCACCTGCAATGAGACCATCCTAAATAAAAGTTGATTTAAAACAATCTGTATGAAACTTATAGTCATTTTAGACTTTTATTGGTTTTATGGTGGTTTGTCAATTAAAATGACTTGAAGATACAGTGGCAATGGTGAATATATTTATACATTTGTTAACCTTAAGTATTATACAAAAACAGTATAATGATTATGTGGTGTTGATTGAAAGAAGCTCGAGTAATTCAGAACTTACAATGTGAGGTGCTACCATTAAAGTGGAAACCCAAAATTTTTTTTTATTTTTTTTTTATAAGTTAAATTTAACAAAGAAGTTTGGTAAAGTGTGTTATTCTTTCAAAATTATTAATTATTTGCATCAAACGCTTGGATTCCAAATTTTTGGATCTCCGATTATTCTTGGTAAGTTGATTAATTTTTATTATTACTCATTACTTCATAATTTTCAGGTTACAAAAATAATTTTATATTTATTCATTTAATAATTTTTTGTTTTGAATAAAAATACAAAAAATTACAGTTGAGAATATGAAAAAAATTATGGAATTGAAAAGGTCATGGAAGATTTTCAAGTTAGGCTTGTAAAATGAATGGGGAAATTCCTAGTGTACCTATTACTACTCTTGCTGGAGTTTCCAGCCTTACTGATTGTAAGTAATAACTTATTGTTAATTATCAACTTTTCTTTTTTTTTTTTTTTTTCTATGTCAAATAATAAATTTAAAAAAAAAAAAAAATTTTATTTTAGTATTACCTGAGATGCCTTTACCATCTCCATTGCCACAAACATTAAGTAATAAATCTCTGTTATTTCATCCTCGGGTTGCTGAAGAAGCTCAAATTCTTTTAAGTCACCCAAATGAATTATTAATTCCTCAATTAGTACATAGTTTGGCTCAAACAACTAGTGAGCATATGTAAGTTTAAATAATATTAATTTTATATTTGTTGAAACGAAAAAAAAAATATGTATATTTCAAAAAAAAATTTTCAGTGAGTTAAAAGATCAATATGCAGGAACAGAGCAGCCCGTTGAACATCAAAGTGGCGCGCCAGAACTTTTAAAAGCAATTTTCTTAAAAAATCCAAGTGCATTTAAGGGACCGGCAAGAAATCAACAGTGGAAACAGCAGTTGCCACAAATTCCTGGTCACAACCTTAATTCTGCTTTTAATCAAACATCTCCTGCTAGCTATGGTCAAGGGTCACCTGGATATACCCGTCATACACCACAGGGCAGTCCTGCACAACCTGCATCAGCTCGACTACCTGTTCCTGATGACAAAACTCGGCCGCCGCTGTCTTCGCCGAGCACGGGATTTCACGACCCTAACTTAGTTTCCCAACGTGCCTCGGTGATCGCTGATCCTCAAAACAGAGTATCAGAGTTAAATCCTCCTTTTCAAGACTTATGTGAAAATAAACTAAATCGGGTTGATGTTCCGACACAACCGGTTTCGGAATGGGACGATAAACTTTCGAGGCGTGTTAAGCCTCATAGTGAACATTCTTTTGATTTAGACAATGTTGATCATAATCCCAGAGTGGGATTATCTCATACAGATTTTACCGATTATAACCGTCCCGAAGTTCATCCTAGTCATAGAAATTTAGAGGGCTTAATGTCTAATGCTCCAGCAATAAATGTAATGAGTAACAATGGTTCTACAGGCCAGATTAGTAGTATGCGAAATTACCGACCACAGAAATCTCAAGGGCAACTGCAGACTTCAAAAGAACTCTTTCCTAATTCTCTTGATAATTCATCTTCTATCACGCTTCCAGGTTCGTACGAATTTTTTTTTTTTTTTCAACCGAAACAAAATAGTTTTGCTTTAAAAACAAATTATCATTATTTTAGGAGCTTCTCCGGCGCAGGCTAGTGTGGCACCAGAAGAATCTCATGTCGGACTTCAAAAATTTAATAAGAAAGACAGTGCGTTGTTTGACAGTAGTGGGACCAGTGCGTCTGTGCAAAAAGATCCAGCGAATAGTGAGAGTGAGTATACCCCGAAATCTGATACTAGTTCCGGTGTTTCTAGCGGTGGGAGTTCGAGTGTAGTGACATTGGGTTCAAATGATAGTTTATTTTTTGGCGCATCAAATTTGGAAGGTTCAGAAAAACTACTACCCGAACTTAGCTTTCAAAGAAGCGAAAAAAATAATCATTCAGACTCCTTTGAGGGCTCTCTGATTGCGGGTCGCGACGAATTCAATGGCACTGACAATTTTAATAGAGCAAAATTGGATAAAACCTGTAAAGATTACGGGAATGGTGAACCTGCTGAAAGAACAATTGAATCAATGAAAAATGATTCGGAGTTTTTCAAAATTCAAAGTAGTAGCACAAGCTCTTCTGCAACAGTGAGCCGACCCCATTCTATTGACTCGAATGATTCTTTAACGAAAATGAAACCCGCATACGTGCGCTTAAATAGATTATCCGAAAAAGATCAAGCGTTAATGCAAAAAAGTTTGAGTAAATTTGCTCAAGAGCAACCGATTTTGGCGAGCAAATTAGGTATAACAAATGAGTGTGAAGAAAAAATGAAATTACCAGTATCTGAATCTGATTCCGAAGAGGATTTAAAACCGATTTCCAAGATCTTCAAATCACGTGAAAGGAACAAGGCTCGAGAAAAAAGAACTAAAAAAGGTATGTTTGTGCAAATAGGTGTACGGTACAATAAAGAAAAAACATGATGAATGTACCAGAGCAAGTATCGAGCCATAGAAAATCGCCTTTGATTATTTGTTCATTAAAAAAAAAAAAAAAAAAATTATCGGTTTCACTTTTTTTTAAAATCAATCTCATTCGTGAAATAAGGAATTTCAGCAAAAGCTGATTCGGGTAAATTTTTTGCTGCATCGCATGCAGCAAAAGTCAGCGTGAAAGCTTGAAATTGCGCCAAAATAAACAGTAAATAATTTCTATTTATTTTTTAAATTAAGATTTTAGTTTATTTACTTTTTTTTTTCAGGTTAACAAATTCAAATTTGAAACTTTAAATTGAGTATTCGTTTATTTTTTTAGTTATTAATTGTATTTATCATAATTTAAAGTCTAAAACTCTTGTTAACAGATATTAATAAGTGTTTTTTACCATAAAAATGTATTAATAATAATAATAATAATGCTTTAAAAATTAATTTTTATTGTTTTAGGGCTTCAATTTTTTTTTTTTTTTTTGACAAAGAATAAAATAAAGTATAGCTTATCTTCCAATTTATTTGAATTTAAATCGTGTCATTTGAGGGGTTAAATTTTTGTTCAACAATTACAATTTTTACAACAGGGTTTTGCTTATTTTTTAGATTCTGCTTTCTTACCTTCTTCCTTTCAAGATAGTGATGAGAGATCAAGAAAACGAAGAAGAAGTACAGCCAATCACGATGAATCTAAAGGTAGAATTTGTGAAAACCAAAGCATCAATCACCGTGATTTGTTTTTGATATGTTTCAAATTTTTTTTGCATAAATTTTTAGAACTATCTCCCGTAGAACTTCCAAAACCTAAAGTACGAAAAGTCGAAAGGAAAATGGTTCCAGTTTTAGAAAAATTAAGTGTAGAAGAGCTTATGGAAACAAATACCTATCAAAGGTTCAACACGACTATAGATAGAATATTTGAAAACACTGATGATCTCGATCTAACTATCGAATTAGGTATTTTTTTTTTTTTCATTTTCATTTTCATTTTAAAAAAGGTTGGAAATTATAAATAATTAATTTTTTTTAGATGATAGTGAAGATGTACCACCTGAAGCGCTTATACCCAAGTATCAATTACAAGATCTTTGTGCGGAGGCTGCAAAGTTGAAAACATTAGGTGCAATGGAATCTATTCCTGCCACTCGTTTGGTTAAATTATTAAATATTTTAGAAAAAAATATAAGGGATGGTGCTAGGGTGTCCCCTATAGCTGATCCAGTAAGTTTAAATTGATTAAAAATTGATAATTAAAAATTGAGATGAGTAAAATGAAAATCAAATTTTTTTTTTTTTTATAAGGATGATGATGAGGATGAAAGTAAATTATGGTTGGAGTTGGCAATGGAGAGAGTGATGAGGGCTATGGACGCTTCATTGACTGCTATTTATATATTAACATCACCCAACATGCCAAAAAGAATTTATTTAGAAGATGTCATAGACAGAATAGTTTTGTTTACAAAGTTTCAACTGTCTAATACAATTTATCCGTCTTTCGATCCGGTTTATAGAATAAATAAAAAGGGAAAAGGTAGATTTTAAAAAAAAAAGATGAAAAGTTTATAAAATTAATTTTTTAATTATTCAAAAAAAAAAAAATTTTTGTTAAATTTCAGATGGATACACGGGGAGCGCAAGGAAAAAAAGGTCACAAGCTCATCAAGTGCGAGAAAAAAGTATTCTTACCCTTTATACAAAACTTCACGGCCTCGTTGGCCTTTTAGCGGAACTTTTAAATATACAAGTTTTAACGGACACGGCTGTACTACATGCGTCTTCAATGGCAGTTTCCCCTTTTTTCGTTGAAGAAGTCAGTGAATTGCAACTTTCTGCTCTCAAACTGGTTACCACGGTTCGTTTTCACTTGTTAACCCACGAATTAATAAATTTTTTTTTTTTTTTTTTTTTCAAGTTAAGAGTAATTTTAATTTTTTTTTTAGATTTTCACAAAGTATGAAAAACACAGGAGGTTGCTTTTAGATGATATTTTAGCATCAATAGCTCGTTTACCTAGTAGCAAAAGAAGTTTACGAACCTACCGACTCAACTCCGAGGAACATATCCAAATGTTAACCGCACTTGTTTTACAATTAATTCAATGCGTGGTTATATTGCCGGAAAATTTAAAAAATAAAAATAAGGAAACCAAAGAAAAAGAAGGAGAGGCTGTAGCCAAAGATAAAATAAATGTACGTTTAAAAATTTTTTTTAAATTTATGTGAAGTTGTCGGTAATTAAAAAAAAAAATAAATTAACTTAATGTTTATTATTTTCAGATGGATAGAGACGTTCAAATCATAAGCAAATACGAAACTGCTATGAAAATAGCCGGAAATTTTCTTTCCGTTTTTCTTAGTAAATGCGGTAGCAAATCCGAAGAAATTGATTATAGGCCTCTTTTCGAAAATTTTGTTCAGGATTTATTGACGACGGTTAATAAGCCTGAATGGCCAGCCACGGAAGTTCTTCTTAGTTTATTAGGAAAATTATTGGTAAATGAAAAAAATTTATTAATTAAATAAAAAAGTTGTAGTTTGTTTTATTAGTACCCGAAAAGTATATTGAGCGAGTAAATTTTAATTTTTAGGTTGGCAACTTTATGAACAAAAGTACTGATATGGCATTGCGTGTTGCCTCACTGGATTATCTAGGTGTTGTAGCTGCTAGGTTAAGAAAAGATTACGTGACATCAAATAGAAAATTAGCATCTATCGATCAAATGATTAGTGAAATAAAATCTGCTGAAAGCAAAGACGCCGACGATAAGAACAATAAAAAGGTAATTTTTTAAAAGCAAAAACATTTAAAAGTTTAGAATACCTCTAGGTTTTTCTTCGAATTAAGTCTCATATGGCTTACTTTAAAAATAAATATTTCTGTTTGTAGACTGAAGAATTGGATCCAGAGGAAGAAAGAACACAGTTTCTTCAAAGAGTTTTGTTGGATTATTTGGCAGTTAACGGACAAAGTGACACAGCGTGGATTTATGCAAGACATTTTTATTTGGCTCAATGGTATATAAATTTATTAATAAAAATAAATACATGTGAACTTACCCATGCCTGCGTACACGTCTCTTATTATTTTAAAATTATTATTAGGTACCATGATTGTATGACCTCTAAAGGGAAACAAAATCATTCTCCTAATAAGTCTAATAAAAAAAATAAAAGGAAAAAACGGAAATCGGAGTCAAGTGAAGAAGATATATCGGATTCTTCTGAGCCTGAAGATGAGGATGAACTTTTGGTTAGCGAAGCCAATACAACAGCTCGGTTTCAGGTACACAAAAATAAAATAATAATAATAATAATTTATTTAGTGATTAAATTACATGAACATAACCTAAATTTGACTTGGTTAATGTAACGTATTTTTCAGATCATGGAAAGTAGAAAACAATTTTTATTATCTAAAATAAAACCGTTCAGTGATGAATCTGGAAGAACAAATATATTACAAACTTATATAGATTATACAAGTGCTGATTTAATTTCTCGGTATCTGTCTTCTAAAAGGCCTTTTTCCCTTAGTTTCGACGGTTATTTAAAACAGGTTTTGTATTTTGTATTTTAATTTTTTTTTTTTTTTTTTTTTTGTTAAACTGCCGGTAAAATTATATATTTATCATATCGTTTTATTTTCTATTTTAGATTTTAAGGGTACTAGCAGAAACTTCAATAGCCATAAGAACTAAAGCAATCAAATGTTTGACAATGGTAGTCGAGGCTGATCCGTCTGTCCTTGGTATGAAATCAATGCAAATGGGCGTAAGAGTTTCATTTTTAGATCATGCCACTTCAGTGAGAGAAGCCGCCGTAGATTTAGTCGGAAAGTTTGTACTGAGTAGGCCTGAACTTATCGATAAATACTACGACATGCTGTCTGCGCGTATTCTGGTGAGTAATTTATTTATTTATTTTTTTTCGTTTCAATTTATATGTTATTTATAATTATTATTATTTATTTAATTTATAGGATACCGGTGTTAGCGTACGAAAAAGAGTAATTAAAATCTTGAGAGATATCTGTATAGAATGTCCCGAGTTTACGAAAATACCAGAAATTTGTGTAAAAATGATACGTAGGGTCAATGATGAAGAGGGTATTAAAAAACTTGTCATGGAGGTTTTTCAAAATATGTGGTTTACACCAGTCAAAGATAGGCCGCAGTTGGACCATAGAGCTCTTTTAAGAAAAGTTATGAACATAACTGAAGTTGTAGCCACTTCATCGAAAGATATGGGGCTCGAATGGTTTGAAACATTATTACTGAGTGTAAGTATCACATGCCAAAATGGCTGTGACTGCTATTCGATTGTCAAAAAAAAATGTTGTAATTATAATCTTTTTTTTTTTTTGTGCAGCTTTTTAAACCAAAAGAAGATAAAGACGATTCCACAAAAGTAGTTGTTGACCCACCAAAAGCTTTAATCACGGCCTGCACTCAAATAGTGAATTGTTTAATTGAAAACATATTAAAATTAGAAGAACAAGAAATGGGAAAGGAAAACCAGGGATCTTCGCAAAGACTAGTAGCATGTTTAACGACCATTTATTTATTTGCCAAAATCAGGCCGCAATTACTTGTCAATCATGCGATTACTCTTCAGCCTTATCTTAGTTTAAAATGTCAAGTTAGTTAAAAATTAAATTTTTTATTTTGTGAAAAAGTTTTATTCGAATAATGATAATGATTATTTTTTTAATTGTATTTCACGCAGACTCAAGGAGACTATCAAATTGTGAGCAACGTAGCTCGAACGTTAGAATTGATTGTACCTTTAATGGAACATCCCAGTGAAACTTTTTTAGCTCAGTTAGAAGAAGATTCAGTCAAATTAATATTACAACACGATCGAATAGTTGTTGCTAGTTGTTTGTCTTGCCTTGGTTCTATTGTAAATAATGTAACTAGAAACTTTAAGCTAATTAGGGATTGCTTCCAAAAATATTACGGTGAGTAGACATTTATAAAATAATTTAAACACCTTTATTTATGAGCCAATTTAAATGTTTTAATTATTATTATTATTATTTTTTTTTTTTTAAATAGGATATTTAATAAAAGTTCGTGATTTGATGGAAAAGGAAATCTCGAAAGCGCAATTAGAGTCAATTCGGCCCTATTGTAAAAGGGCTCTCTTCACAGTTGGCCTTCTCATGAGGCATTTCGATTTCACCGACAAAGATGTACGAGACGGCCTTCCCGAAGATCTTAAAGATCAAGTATTTAGCACTTTGTTTTTTTTCGTACACGATCCATCACCGGATATTCAAAATTACACAATGAAAGCCATAGGATCGCTATGTATCAGACATTACGAATTTATGTTAGGAAACGAATTGAAGCAATTGTATTATAAACTTTTGACTGAGTCGGATGCTCCTTTAGCTATGAAAGCTCAGGTTTTGCACAATATTGAAATGTATCTCCAAGAAGAGGAAACAAGAATGATAAAGCAAGACCAAGAGTGTAAGTTTCTGTTTTTTTTTAATATTTTACTTTCCTCTCTCAAGTTAAGTCTTTTATAAATTGTAATTTTCTAATTATTAATCGTGTGTGTAGGGTCGAAATTGTCGAAACAAGAAAATTTAAAGGAAATGGGTGACGTATCATCAGGTATGGCAAGTACAGTAATACAGTTATATATAAAAGAAATATTAGACGCTTTTCTTCATTACGACGTAAGTGTACGGCGAGCCGCTTTAAAAGTCATACAGTTAATTCTTCAACAAGGTTTAGTTCATCCCGTTCAGGTACATTATTTTTTGAAGCCCATAATAATTTTAATTTACACGGGTAATTATTTTCAAAAGAAATGAATTTTTATTATATGTGATTTCAGATCGTACCTTATTTAATATGTATGAGCACGGATAACGAAAAAGTTGTGAGTCACAGCGCGGATAAGCAATTACAAGAAATAGAAAAAAAATATCCCGGTTTTATACATATGAAAGCTCAGCTTGGAATCAGGCTCTCTTATAGGTTGCAACGAATCATACAAGGAAAGGAAATTGTTCGGGGGTTTCGAACGGTAGAAGGAGAATTTCCCGGGGCTTTAAATGGATTTTTATATTCGATATTGAGAACAACCAAACAACAAAGGAGGGCCATCGTTTTAAGTGTCTTAAAGCAATTTGATGAACAAGTAGTAGGTTTCTTTTTTGTTTGTTCGTTTGTTTGCTTTTTATTTTGTGAAAATTTCATTAATTTAAATTTTTTTTTCTCTCTCTCTCTCTCTCCTACAGAAAACTAGTTTGGCTCAAATGTTATATTTAGCAGATAACCTCGCTTATTTTCCATATCAAGTTCAAGATGAGCCTTTGTTTATTGTGCACCACATTGACGTCATGATCTCCATGTCCGGTACAAACCTTCTTCAATCTTTCAGAGAAGCTTTAATTCCAACTTCTAATCAAACTACGAAAATCGATCCGAATACGGGAGCCGTCGAGGTTAAAATTTATTTTTTGCATTTAAATTATTTTAATTGAAAATTTTTGCTCGATGCTAATTTGAAATTTTTCATTCGAAGGTTGGTTACGACGAAGACGAAGATGAGGATGAAGATGCCTTGTTGAATCGGGTTCCTGAAGATACAACCGTATTACAAGATTGCATCACAGCTTCCCAAGGTTGTTTATTGCTTTTGGTTCTTAAACAGCACCTTAAGGATTTATACGGTCTTACTGACGCGTAAGTGTTGCCTCTATAAATCTTGTATAAAATTTTGAATTGTTTTTTTTTTAATTTTTTTTTGGGATTTACATCTTTTAGGAAAATTGCACAATATTCTCCTTCAGAATCAGCAAAAATTTACGAAAAGGCTGTGAACAGAAAAAGTAATTCTAATTTTAATCCGAAAGCCACTTTAGTGAAATTAAAAGAAGGTACTCCGCCTAGGCATTTGGATGAAAACCAACGTAAAGCTTTGATCGATCAGTACCTAGATGTAATTAAAAATAATTTTTATTTATTTATACATATACTTGAGGAATCGATCGATTGGATTTGAATACAATTTTTTTTTTTTTTTTTTTTTGTCTCGATTTAGTTTAAACAGTTAATGTTAAAATTCGATCCGGACGAAGACGACGAGGATGGAACGCAATCTCAGGCTACCTCAGGAAGTCAACAAGGTCCGCAACACGCGACTTCCTCTCACGATAACACTCCGACAAAAACGGGATACAATTGTCCGAACGCGTTGACTCCCGGACAGGATAGTTTATCACCGTTGAACGCAACACCCAATCCGGCCGAAAGAGGAAATTTTCCGTACACGCAGCAGGACACGAGGGTGAGATTTAAACGCAAAACGAATGCGCTTTTCCGCGATAAGTTGTCAAAAGTATATTTTAAAATTAAAAAAATTAATTTATTACAGGAAATAACGCCGGGTAAAGTTCCAAAATTAACAATCGTCACGCCGAGGCCTAACGAAAAAGATTCACTTCGGTCTCACAGGCATAAATCACATAAATCCGAAAAGCAGAAAAAGCACAGGCATAAAAAGCGTAAAAAATATAGCGAAGACGAGAGCGACGATAACGAATTTAGTGACCCCGATTTTCTCGTTTAAAAAATTTAAAAACATTTTTCTTTTTTTTTTTTTTTTTTTTAATAAATAAATAAAAATAAATTTTAAAAAAATAATAATAAAAAAAAAAAAGTTAAAAATTAAAAAAAATTAAAAAAAAAAAGAAAACTTTAAAATTGACCTTTGACCTGTTGTATGCTTGTGTATATATTTATATATATATAAATATGAAATGATTATTTCCAGATTCTATCTAGTTTTTAATTATTTAATTAGGTAAAAATCAATTACTTATTTCCGTTAATTTCTATTTTGTGATAAAGGAAAAATTAAAAAAAATATTAAGTGGTTTAGGATAATTAAAAAATAATAATAACAAAATGATAAACTTTAATGATAATAATAATAATAATAATAATAATAGATAACGGATAAACTGGACAAAAATGAATTTTTTTTTAACATTATTATTATTATTATTATTACTATGAATACTGTTGTTATTATTATTAATAATTACTTTTTAACAATTAAATCAATATTTAATTATTATTATTATTATTTTTTTTTTTTTTTATTATACATATTCCGTTTAATCATTTGTTTAATTGAATAATAATAATTAAAAAAAATGTACATGAATAAGTAAAAATAATAATAATAATAATAATTACTTTCATTGTAAATATTTATACATATATACATAAACATATATATAAATAAATATATATATATATATAATCTATATATATTTTTTACTCTACGAAAGTGACAAAACGCGACAAAAAAAAAATTGTATAAAAAAAAAAAAGGAAAAATTTATATAAATAATGTCCTAGGTGATTATTATGATTAATTATCCTGAAGAAAATAATAATAATAATAAATAATAATAAGCAGAAGAAAAAGAGAAGAAAGCATTTACCACATTAATTTATTGTTTTAATTTGTATGATGATATAGAAATAAAATAAAAACAATTTTTAAAAAAGTTTACAAAATGAAAAAAAGAGGGGGGGAGGTGGAGGAGGAGGAGGAGGAAGATAAAATAATAATAAAAAAATTGTATTAAATAAATAATTAAATAAAAATAATGTAGATTTTGTGATACTTATTGCATTGTGTAGTTGACAAATTTTTTTTTTTATGTGTATAAAAAAGAAGGTGGAGAAGAAAAAGGAAAGAAAAAGGAAAAAGGAAAAGGAAAATGAAAGGAAAAGAAAATCTTAATAATTTTCTACCCTCTCTATCCCCTCCCTCTCTTTTTTTTTTCTTAAATTTTTGTTTTGTAAATGAAATATTATTGATCTGACCATATCCGTTAATATTGTTTTTTATAATAATAATAATAATAATAATAATAAATGCATTGCATTTAAAAAAAAGCCTAGGACGTATATTAGTTATAAATATTTGAAAAAAAAATTAAAAGTTTTTGGTCACACATTTAATAAAAAGTGATCAAATAACAACAAACGATGATGATGATGATGATGATGATATTAATAATAATAATAAGAAAATTTTTTTTTTTTTTTTTTACGCTCTTAAGTATTAATAATTATTATTATTGTTGTTATTATCATCATCATCGTGTTTTTTTTTTTGTTTTTTTTATTATTTTTTTTTTATAAGTGATATATGCACAAAAAATTAATATCGAATTTTCTTTTCTTTTTGTTTTTTATTATTTATGTTATTTAATAATAATAATAATAATAATAATGATGATGATGATGATGATGATGATCACAATTTTTATTTTTCGTTTTTTTTTGTTTATTTTAATTGCAATTTAATAAAACTTAAAACAACGAATCGGTTGTCGAGTTTGCTTTCGTAAATTGACGATGATAATGATGATGATGATAATGATGATGATGATGATGATGATGATGATTTTATTATAATATTACTTTTTTTTCGTCAGGTTACATCCCCTCTATTTCGTTCAATCCCATTCTTTAAATTTTTTCTCTTTAGTTATCTTATTTACAAAATTTATTTATTTATTTTTATTTTATTTATTAATTAATTAATTAATTAACCTATTAAAAATTATTTTTAGCAAATTTGTACCATTTCATAATTGTCGGGGGAAAAACAAAAATAAATAAATAAATAAATTTATATATTTATATTAAATTCTAATGAAATGCCTTGAGGTTGTACATATATTTATCAATCAATCAATCAATCAATTAATAATAATAATAATTAATTTTTAAAATTTGTTTATAATAAAAAAACAAAAAAAAAAAACGTTTATTATTATTATTATTTTCATTTTGCTCTCTAAAGTATTATTATTATTATTATTATTATTATAGTAATTTTTGTGACGTTTTACTTTAATCTTAATTTAATAAACAAAAAAATTTAAAAAAAAAAAAATGGAGGGAAATTATTATTATTATTATCATTATTATTATTATTAGTTTTTTTTTAAATTTAAATAATAACCATTTGTGGGATTTAAATAATTTATTAAAAACAAATATGGATGATTATTTTGTTTATAAATAAAAGAAAATTGAAATTTTCGGTTTTTTTTTCTTATGTATGTGAGTATATATATATTATGTACATAAATGTTTTGTTTTTTTTTTATTTATACATAAGTTAAAAATAAGAGAAAACCGATTTTTTTTTTGTTTTTGTAGTTTATTGTATGACGTAGAGTAAATAATTATTATTATTATTTTTTTTTCTTTTCTACGTAAACGAAAACATATTGACATTTGTAAAAAAAAATTAAAAAAATTTTTTTTTAAATTTAAATCTAGACTGTAAATTTAAATAAAATAATAATAATAATAATAAAAATAAAAAGAAGAAAAAAAATTGTTTTTAATTATTATTTGTCGTATTAATATTATCATCATCATCATCATCATCGACCGTTATTTTATTCGATTCGTTTTTCAAAAGCCATTGATTTTACGCCATTTTTTTTGTTTTATTATTAAATTATTAATTTAAATTATTATTATTATCATTATTATTATTATTATCATTATTATTATTATTATTATTATTATTATTATTTAACTTTGCTTTACGCGGGTAACTGTCGATGAATTGATATGTATATATTTATGAAAAGACAAAAAAAAAAAAAAAAAAAGAAAAAACATCATCTAACGGATGGTAACTAAAAATTTATTATTATTATTAATATTAATATTATTATTATTATTATTGTTTTATTTTACTTCAAAAAAAAAATGTTTACAAACAATCGTCATTAGGAATAAAAATTTACAATTCGCATAAAATAATCAAAGAGATCAACGACAACAACAACAACAACAAAATTTGGTATTCTTGAATATTAGGATAAAATTATCAAACAGAAATAATTTGTTTAAATAATTGATTTAAATGTGTGTGCGTGCGCGTGCGAGGTTACCATCTATTTAACTATGTAATTTAAAATAAGTAGAAATGCTCCTGATGTAAAAATGACGACAAAGTTTGCCGTTATTGAGGATTGAAATGACGGAACCACATTATTTTCTTTTGGGTCGTCAATGTCGTTCGTACCAACTTCCGGTATATCATTATTATCATCATCTTGCAATTTATATTGTTGTATAGCAGTATGTACGGCTCTTAAAAGTGGAAAAGTGTATTTATCTTGTGCGGATTCTTTTACTTTCAGTCTTTCTTTATCACAATCTCCGTGAAAATCATCCGTGTCTATGGACCATATCATAAAACCACCGACTTTATATTTCAATCCCAAATTAACCTGTCGGAATATAAAAATTTTTTTTTTCATTTTAAACGTTTAAAAATAATTTTTTTTTTAAACGCACGCACTCACGCACCTTTTCTCCTATACTTTTTTCATCGTCGAATGCGATGACGTGATTTCCGTTAACGGCATATGGTGTCGATGACTCATCATCCCAATGTTTTGACCATTTTTCATCATCTTTTAATAATTCCGTACAAATCTAAAAAAAATTCACACTTAAAATTTTTTCCTTTTAAATTAAGAGGAAGTGACGTAACCGACCTCATTGTAACCTTGAAATCCTTGTTGTTTTGTAAAAACTCCTTCCGGACCCGGACCGGTGATTGGTGTTCCCATTTTAGGATTCGTTACGTTTTTCGTTAGAAATGTGTGACCGTATGCAGGTATACCAACCACTAATTTGTGCGGTGGTGCACCCAATTGTAATAAATGTGTGATTGATGATTCCTGAGGAGGAAACAACAGCGAAAAAAATTAACAAATCTTTAAAGAAGAAGTTTTCATTTTTTAAGGTATCAATTCTCATACCAAATCTAAACTATCTTTTGATGTTAATGGCGCATTAGCACCAACGGTTTTATCCCACGGACCGTGATAATCGTAACACATAAAATGAAGTAAATCTAAATGTTTTGATATTTCAGGTACGTCGTAAGCAGTATTTATTGTATTTATAGCAGCTCCCAAAGCGGCGGTCAATATTAAATTTTTCTTTCCTAATTCTTGTTTTAATTCCTGGAAAAAAATGTTTCCCATTTATTATTTCCTCCTTCCTCCAAAAAAAAAAAAAAAAAAATTAGGGTAGTTGGGGAGACAATTCATACCTTAACCAAAAGTGCAAAATTTTGTTTGTCTTCGGGTCTGCCACCTCTCGCCGCTGGGAATTCCCAATCCAAATCAAAACCGTCGAAATTATATTTCGTTACGTATTCCATAACACTGTTAATAAATTTTCTACGATTTTCAGGTACGAGTGCCATATTTGAATAATTTGCAGAACCTTCGTTCCAACCACCAACGGCTAGCGTCACTTTCAAATTTGGATATTTCAATTTGAGTTGTGTCATTTTTTTAAATGAACCTAAAAATGTGAGTAGTACTTATTATCATTATCATCATCATCCATTCGCATAATAATAATAATAATAATAATTTTTTCTTTTTACCCTTTCCGTAATTTTCTTCTAAATCGTAATATGGATCGATACTTCTTAGAGTATTTGTCGTGGCATTTAAACCCACAAATGCGTACACAATGTGCGTGCATAGATTTCCATCAATATTTTCTATTTTAAACGAACCTTTTCCTGGTCTGTACACCGACCATGTACCGATATAGCAGACGACATGTTTGTCATGGATCGGTTTCAATCCTTAAAAAGAAAAAATTATTATTATCATTTTAATCCGCTCATTTTCATTATGTAAAAAAAAAACAATCAATCATAATAATAATAATATTTATTTATTATTTGGCAAAATTTTTATTAAATTT